AGAATGACATGTGCGCAAAGAAGGAAATCGAATAAAGTGCAATAAATAATTGTTTGTACAAAGCAAAGCTGAAGAAGTCGAATGATAGGGCCAGCAGATAAATATTTTCTGGAAGATTGATTAACAGCACTCAATCGATTATTTATTTCAGTAGAAAGAAAAAGAAAACCCGTATTGTAGTTATACGAAATAAAAAGTAAGTCAGTTTAAATACAATGTAAATGCTGAGAGAAAAAAACAAAACAAAAATAACTAACCGACTTCCAAAGAACAATGTTAATCTCGTCTATTTATCGATTAGTTCCAAAACGAGGCTCATATGAGCCACTTGTTGATCAAACACGAAGGTTTTCTTCAGCAATGGAAAGGTTCTTTAGGTAGAAGGTAGACACTATAATCCATATCTTTCCCTGTGAGAATTCTTTTTAGTAATATGGTAGATTTCAGGACCATTTGAAGCCTATAATTTCTAGACATGATAATGACATGTACGTTATTATCAGTAACTCAATAACTCAGTTAAATAAAGATCCGCATGGCACATATATTTTAAAAATAAATATGTTCTTTAGTTTATAAATGTATTGAAAATTATAATGAGGACATCAATTCTGGATTTGCAGCAGAAATTCAGAAAGAAGAGCTATACAAAAATCGGATGGACGAATGTGAAAACACGGCGTAGCAGGCTAAAAATTTCTTTGTCGAGATTGGCTGCAGATGTTACATAGGCGAGCCGCTGAGTTAATGCCAGGATTCACTGGAATCAAGTAGAGAAAATTAAGTGCAAACCCAAAGGATATCAAGTAGAAACTAAGGAAGAGAGCCATTGGATCTAGTACAAAAGAAATGATGAAAGTTGGCTAGAGAAATGATCCCCGACAGATTACGAAGTATTCGACAATTGAACAAAATAATAAAATACGAAATGGAGCGCATTCCCTCCTGATGACACTGAGAATCGCCTGGTATCCGACACACTGAGCATTTGATTGGCAGCACTTGCAATAGCAAGCTCTTCACAGATTCTTAGTTTACAATTTAGCTTATCTTGCTATAATTACTTTATACATACAATTCTCAGCCGATGATAATAGTGTACCTTTGTAACTATACACGTCTAGCTTTATGTAAAATAATCAGATAATATTTAACTGTAACGTATGTATATATATTTATAAATATTATTATTTATTACTACTTATGAAAAGATGCAACATTTAATTGAACTGCACTCTAGTTTACATGACAAATTGTTTCATAATTGTGTCTAATCTCTTCTTTTTTCTGACCATTTTTTCTCTCTGCATGCCATTTCTTCAGCATATCTCCTGTTATCAAGAAGTCATGTCTTCATATATTTTTTCAAGGTTGGATTTTGACTGTGAAGTTCTCACCAACTTAATAAACAGAAAAAATCGAGAGATGACATGTGATGACATGCAGAAATCCATGCCATTGGTGCTTCCTTCATATTCTGCTACTGGAATTGCATTTAAAGCCCTGTGCAATTACAGAAAATCAACAGGAAATACCCTTTAGGTGCCTTAAATTCTCTGAAGACTCTTCTAAAAAGATGTGCAGGTGGTGTAATAGATAGCAACTCAGAACAAGAAACTGGAAAGCTGAGTTTGAATTCTAGTGGAGTTCATTACATCCACTTATATGCAAATACCCTTGGAAAAGGTATGAACCTATCTATCCTCCCCTAGATATGAGTTAAATAGTAACATTCGAAAAATCATTGTTATTCTCAAAAATTTGTTAATAAAATATTCACTCGCAAAAATATTATTCTTATGATTCATAAATATGTTTCAGCTGTAAATAACCCACAAAGGGTTGATAAGACGTAAAAAACATAACAATACACATTCTATGAAGCCAATTATTTAAGCCAAGTTGTTGTGAAATTTTTTTTCCATGGTGAAATATTGAAACTTTACAAATATTTTTAATATCTAAATATTATTTAAATAAATATAAGTTAATTAACTTTTCACATTTATCATTAGAATATGTTGTCAATTCAAGCAACCTGGATTTCATATTATTGACCACATTTCTCAAAAGCTGTTGTTTACATATATATTGTAGGTATTTTACCAAGTCTAAAATTTATTCATTAAATATCATCTGCTTTGTTGCTTTCTCCAGTTGAGTATAAAATTTATTTGGTTTCTTTATTTGCTATTCAAGGACCTTGACAGTTCATTTTATTTTCTCGTGTGCTTTATTCAGCAAACAATTGTGCTTCTAAAGTCGGAGATGACAGTTAAAGAGAACGCATAAATGTCATGCGATGTATTCATTATTCAATTTTACTTATTTTATTTAAAAAAAGAAATGATTTTCCTATACTTTCTGCCACGTGAGTGTATGGTTATGTTTAATACGTTGATTGATAGTTTTAATTTTTTGATTATGACATTTTGTCATATGACTTGAATGCTTACAGTTCCTTGAACTGAAAAAAATCGTTAAATCTGTCCATGGAAGGAAATATAATAAAGTAATAAGGAAATATTTTCCATGTTAATAGCAGAAAAATCGAGATCATTCCACATGGTATTTAGTACAAGTCTAAATATAGACCGAAGCAAATAAAGTTACCTGTAGAGAGATTATTGTTGAGAGATAGGTGTCCTAACTCTCTTTATAAATGTTGTATAGCTTGACCATCATTATTCTGGTAATCAGTAATCGTGCACCAGTTCTAGATTTGTATAAAATATTTTCTACTTTATTAAGACAGACAAAAAAAATACTTCCTTACCTATTTCATACAGTTTATCCATCAGTAATCCGGTTGATCAATAATCCGGCGTTACTTTTTACGAGTGGAATTTAAGACATACTGGGTCACAGTACGACTGTCTGGTGGTGCCAGCTTCTGAGTTATTTTTGAGCATTGGTAAAGCATTTTTACTTGTCCTTTGTGCAATATTATTATAACCTGCTGAGTTTTAGCTCCATTCATAGCTCCACTGCATAAAAGTAATTGCTGTGGCGCAAACACCATACATTGTCCATAATAGATAAGATAGAACACTGAATAAAACTTGACAGTGTCGTATCTCTCAAATTGTATGATTTATATGTCTATAGTTTATGAAATAAGAATCAGAAAGAAGAAAATGATCAACATTTTTACTGACTGATTCAAAGAAAAACGTGTATATGAGGTAAACAATGAATGTTTCATTAAATTCTCACTTGATTTTAATGTTTCACTTTGGAATTGATAATGATGAAGTCCATTGTGTAAGTCAAAAAAATTACTTCTAACCTTTACTTTTACATTAAAATTTTCTTTTTCCTTTCTGAACTGATTTACAGGATATATTAAAGGTAGGATGAAGTAGTTGTTCTTTTAAGCGTATTCTAAGGTAACAATCAGTTATCTGACAAAATCGCTTATTTAGCACCTCAAATGTCTCAAAGATGGTCGACCTATAGAAGGGTTATAATAGGATTGCATGTCGATTTTCATTCTCCTCAGTAGTTTTGAAGTGCTCAAAATTTGGTGAGGATCATTATTGTTGTCATTGATTTTTTTCTTTCAAGATTTTCTCATAAAGGCGATTTTCTAAAACAGTTTTTGTGGAATGATTTCTATCTTATCAAAAACTGTTGATTAAAATGCTCAAATTATCAGAAAGCCTAAAACAATGTTTCCAAGAGGAAGTAATTGTTAAAAGTACAAAACCAGTGGCTAAAACCTCTAGCTGGAAATTGTTTAAAAATGCAGTCTCTTAACCTCAAATTTGGTAAAGACATTTGAACAAATCAATGGATTTAATTTGGCAAAGAAAATGCTACATTCCTTTGATATTTCAGTTCTTATTGACTCGGTTACCTTTGCCGCCCAAATGATGGCGATAAGCAATTTTGCTGAAGCATTGGATTAATAAAATTGCAAACTATTATGATGCACATCATTTTCTTGTTTATGTTCAATATTTGCTGAATATTAAACCAAAAATTAAAGGGGGATGCGTTTGATTTGTCACTCGAATATAAAACCCGGATATAAACTAGAGAAAGCAAAGTAAGAGAAAGCCGCCTCCTTGCGTCGCCACCCACACCATTTTCTTTCATTGTTTTTTTTTACCTCTTTCTGATTTGTGAGAAAAGTTGTATTCTATTTCTGATTGGTTAAGAAGATAACTGACGAAATTGGTATCTTTTTAAGTTTAGATTCTACTTTTGTTAAGAATTTAGGTTCGAACAAAATAATATAAAATGTTTTCAACAAGACTGACAACAGCACCGTCTAAAAGCAGATTTGAAAAGTCAAAGTATGAATATTGTTAAACATTGTAATTTATATGAACGAAAAAAAAATCCTTTCTTCTCAATTATAATAATAAAAATACAATTCAATTTTTCACTCTTTGTTTTCTACTTATCGTCTGTTCTAGAATTTTTTGTACTGCGAATTGTTTGTTTCAGATTCTAAACAAAAAAACAACTGGTTACTTATTTTTATGAAACAAAACTTCTATGATTAAACTTGCAAAGAAATGCTTCATTTATGACATAAGCATCTATAATATTCAAATGATAACATACTATGAGACAAGACTGGTTTCAAAGCCCATGTTATTGAATTTTATTTTCTAATTCTAATAACAGAAGACACTGTTTGTAATGACTGTCTCAGTCATCTTATCCATTATTTATAATAAAAAAAAAGAAAATAAATAAATGCAAGTGATAAACTCAGGAAATGGAATAACATTATGTGAATTTCAATTATTTATTTTCTGCTGTTTGTGATATCGTGATAGGCCATTATTTTGTATTTTAATGATGCTATAATAATATGTTGGCATTTTTCGAATCTATGAAAACTCTTCTAAGCAATGCTTTGAAGAACAAACACATTTACCTTTTGGTTTCGTTAAATCATGACACCCAATGCGATTGAGCGTATCAGTATTAACAGAGAATTCTACTGGTATTATTAGGTTTATATTTATTTAGATTTATTAATTACAACCATATCACGTTGAAACACCGGTTCTCGTCCGTATTACCGAAGTTAAGCAACGTCGACTCTGGTCAGCACCTAGATGGGTGACCGATCGGGAATACCAGGTGCTATAATCTTGGATGTGACGGGGTGTAATAGATGACGGTTCGAAATGAGAGATCGGAGAGCCGAGTTCGAATTACAGTCGCGTTCATTACATTTACTTACGCGCAACTAGCCTTGGGAAAGGTGTTAAACCACCTCTTCTCCCGACAGATATTTTACTCTATAAATGCATGATACGTCAAAAGGAAAGGGATTGTCTTGTTAAGAATTCAATCATTAATTGCAGCATAAGGCCATTGCATATACATTTATTAGATTTTTATTTTGACTGCATATGATTGGAATCTATTTAAATAAAAGAATAGTAGAAGCAATACGCTTTTACGTTTTCATTTTCTAGATTACATATCGACCATAAAGTATCATTCAAAGAGAATGTTTTAATTTAAGTTGATTAAATTATTTTACATGCAAAATCTTTTTCAGTTCGCTTTCATGTATAACTTTTAGGTTTTTGAGAATATATTGGTATTGGTTGGTGAATGTTTGAGCAAAAGATATCAATGAACCAAAATCTTTACGGTCACTTTCGCCTAAATAGACTCGGGAAAAGGGGTGCAAATCCATCTCACCAACTATGAGTAAAGTAACAGGATTTGCTAATCTCTTGAGGTGGCAACCAGTCTCGGAGCAGGAAAACTTTGAATTCGCAATCTGAAGAGGAATAGGGAGCCTATTCCTCTTCAGACTGCGAATTCAGGTTATATTGCCTTAGACGCAAGTACAGTTAGTGTCTTGACGATTCTAATGCAATATTCGTGCAAAATATTTATTCAGTTTATGCAGTTACTAGCAGCATGGCCCGGCGTTGCCCGTGCTTGATTCAAAAATCGTACGACTCATACAGCAATCGCTATCACTTCACTTAAAATATTTTTACCCTTCCTTGCCTTTAAAGGAGCGCCCTTTGCCGTGCTGATGTAGCTATATGCCTTACTTCTTGCCTATCTCCCACTGCGAATTTTTTCTAAGCTCTATACTAAACATTAAATCTGTTACGAAAAAAGAACTAAACAAAATGAACACAAAACGATCAGCTTTAAAAAAGGACTCGTAACTGGAAAAACCGAATGAAAAAAGAATGTTAACAACAAATATTTTTTCATACCCAACGCAGTTCTGTGGAATCAGAATGAAAGTTAAGTCTAAGCAAGCGAATGACCCAATTTTTCCCACTTGTGACGAATACAGCTATCGATTTAGTATGCTAGTTAACATTCGTGTCAGTCAGCTGTTGGCTCTCACGCTGGCCAATAGAATCTTCCTGCCTATTCGTGACAGCCAGCTATAGGCTCTCACACTGGCCAGTAGAAAATGGCCGCAAACTACATGAAAACTGTTGTAGAAGCATGAAAAAATCTATTATTTCCACTATCGATGGGAGTTGGGAAATGCAACGTCGGTCTTGGCCTTCCCGCTAACTTGGAGCAGGTCCATGTAAATTTTGGTGCAAATCCGTCGAAAATTGCAGCCGTGCATTCGTTACACACACACACGCACACATCCTGCCTTTTATAGATAGAGATTCGGCTGTCAGAGTTTAATTCATAGCAACAAGTTAAAAACAACAAACTGACCAGACGAACAAGAAAGTCGATCTAAAAATATCTGGGTATAAATTGGGGTTTTAATTTCTAATTTAGAAGTGAACTGACCCTTGCAGTTACATGGTTCGAGCGAAAGCCAACTTGAATTCGTAACACTGGTTGTTTATCCCAGCATGAAATGTTATTAACTGCCTTGATTTGTTTAGCGAAAAGGAAACAAACTAATCCGCCTGACAGTGACAACAGGTTTCTACATTGCTATCTTATGTAAACCTTCGTATTGAGCGGCGGGGAGATTTTTCAATGTGAAAGATCAACACTGAAGAAAAATATTGCTTAATCTGTGCTTAACGCTTTCTTGTCCATGCCCGTAAATATTGCCAATATTCCAATAATATCTTAATAAATGTCTCTCTAATATTTTATGATATTTGTCACGCTCAAAATCAACAACCTAGAATGAAACTATGCAGAGCAAGAACAGTGCTCCAACCCACACAGCCAAAAAAATTCTGTAACGCTAATTTAGGTGAATTCAGGCCGGTGGACTTAGAGCCTGGAAATGAAACCATTACGTTACGACGTGCGAGGTGTTTTGAAGCAGACCACCAACAACATCTCCTTCATAGTTAAACCTCTTTGTAAAATTCAAAATTCTCTCGGTCACTTAGTATTCCGGTGATGACCTTTCACACAGTGGTTTATACGCCATATTTAAATAAGATACAATCTCCTGTTTTAGACAATATCTCTATATTTAAATAAAATATTCCTAAGTGTTTTGAATCTGCATTGGTTATACTGCATATACAAGGATTTATTCTCGTCTACCGGCCTGAATATTCGAGAAATTATATTAATGAAAAATACATGCTCTCCGGCAGAGTTCGAACCTTCCCTGGGCAGAGGGAACAGTCTTTAGATCCGATGTGCGTTAATCGATTTGGCCGCAAAGAACCTTTGCTCTTCAATCAAGTCTTAATATAGCATTTAAGTGAAATCGTCATAGACTCTCGAAATTTCATATCTGGTTAGTTTCGTATCCAAACAAATAAAGCAAGAAGTAATGGATTTCTTATTTATTAATCCCACAGATCTCTCCTCTCTCTCTATATATATATATATATATATATATATATATATATATATATATATATATATATATATAAAAAAAAAATCACTTTAAGATTTATTTTTAGTGGATATTCATAAACTGACTCGGCAACGAAGAACCTTTACCGACCAAGCAAGGGTGATTAGTGCCCTAAAGCAAAATCCTTCTCGTCAAAGACATTCGAAATTTCATATATGCTCAGTTTCGTATCCAAACGTAAACAAAGCAATTTCTAAAGAAGTAAAGGATATTGTAAATTTATTAATCCAACAGATTTTATCACTTTAAACGTTATTCTTAAAGGATACTCATATGTAAGTAAACGGTGTGTTTATTTAATAAAGAGTATATTTATTGTCGTCTACCGGCTTGAATTAAAATTCTTTAATGCACATATTGGAATCTATTAAAAAAGAAGATGGAATAATATGTTTTTGTGTTGAATGCAACACTGAATTCATTTGCCTTTAAACATTTTCACTCATCTTTTCATTTACCCTCTTCATTTTTTTTATTTCCTGTGAATGTCGGTAACAGCACGCCTTACGTTAGTCAAGAACCGAGTGACTCTTCTTTGTTCTTGCCTCATATCAAAAGTTATATAGCATATGTAGTTACCCCACATTGCCAATGGACTTCGCTTAACAGCCGCTTGATGTCGTGACTATCAGTGATATAAAGGGAAAGGACTTTCTCTTTGTGCTACGGCTGTAGTAACGACAACACAAGACTTATCGCCACCATGGAAGATTTCTTTCCCCGGGCAGACTGACTACTTGATTTCACGAAACTGCGTCCACACACTGCCACAAATCTTTTTTTTTAGCTATTTGCATACATGTAAATATAATTTTTGCTTTATTTTCTTTTTTGAACCATGTATTTTCTTTATATAAAATATATGTATAAAAATCCTCTACGTGTTGCATTTATTTATTTTGAAAGTTCAGAACCTCGACCGTTACACTCCTCTCGTTACGAATTTGTAAACCCCAGCGTGATATGAACATGGAACTACATAAAAAAAAGGTCCATGCCAAGTGAGGAAAGAGAAATTAGGCATTAAGAATTATTCTATCTGGCGGCGTAAAAGTATGATATTTCGAATAATGAGAAAATGGCAAAAAAAAAAAAATAAATTAAAAAATAACATTATTTCTGGACAAGACTCGAATAACGAAAATGCATTGTTAATTATTAAACGTTATTTTTAGTAGACACTCGTATTTGAGTAGAAGTATGAGTATTCATAAAACACTATATTTATTTATTTTCATCTACCAGCCTGAATGTTCGAGAAATCCTATTAAAGAAAATCTACGCTATCTCTTGCAGAATTCGAACGTGCGTACCTATGAGCAGAGGGAGCTATTGTTAAATCCAATACACTCTGAGCAACTAAGCGACAATGAACCAATTAATCAGACACGGTCCGAATTGTACATTTAAGCGAATCTTCTCTTGTCATAAATCTCTCCAAAATGTTCATATCTGAACAGTTTAGTATCCAAATGCATACAAAGTGGATTTTACAATGGATTTTTTTTTATTAATCCGACATATTTTTATCAATTTAAACGTTATTTTTAGTGGATACTCGTATCTGAGGTTATTGATTAAACAGAATATTTAACAGTATATCAATATGTCTCCATTTTTCTCAGTTATTGATTAAACAGTATATTTATTGAATTCCAGTCTAAAATTCAATTTGTTTACGTTTGGATAAAAAACTGCGCAGATATGAAAATTTAGGGAGATTACGAGAGAAGTTTTGCTTAAAGCTACAATTCGGGCCTTTCCTAACTAATTGGGTCTTTGTAGTCAGAGTGTGACGAATTTAGGGACAGCATCCCCTGTTCACGGGGATGCAGGTTCGAATCCTGCCAGAGAGCGTTTTCTTTTCTTTAATAGTATTTCTTGAACATCCAGGTCGGTAAATGAAAATAAATAAATATACTGTTTAATAAATAAACGGATTGTCTACTCAGATACTAGTGATCATTAAAAATAACGTTTAAAGTGATAAAAAGCTGTAGGATTAATAAAAAATAATTCTAAAATTGTCACTGTTAATGATACTAACTGTAGAAAATCATCTAAAGTCGTTTTACTATATAAATGCATGATACGTCAAAAGGAAAAAAAGAATTCAATCTTTAATTCCAGAATAAATCTATTGCATATACAAGTATTGGATTTTTATTTTTACTGCTTATGATTGGAATCTGTTTAAAAAAGAAGATAGAATTAATTCGCTTTGTTTTTCATTTTCCAGATAGATAACATATCGACAATTTGTTCTCAAATGAATTCGTAAAAAACCTGACCTGATTTAAAACAGGACTGAAGTACTCCGCAAAATGACGTTGAGTCTTCTTCACAGAAAGGGGGATCATTCTCCTCATTTTTCCTCAAAGCTACAACTCAAGAATGGCATCGTTTGTTAAGAAGGTGAGAATCTTTAACTTTATTTTCGTACTCAGTATATAATGTAATGATCTTATTATTGCAGAATTTGCATCCATACACCAGACGATAAGTTCACTTCGAAGTGGTTTAATGGTTAGTAAGCGTATCTCGCATGAACCATTACAACTGAGTAGTGAGTTCGATTCTCATTGGATGCCCCATACTTTCGACCTTGTGCCATATTTAAGCTGCTCTTAAAAAATCACCATACACCAGGCGAGATAATGACTGGAGTATTTGCTCCGTAAATCTGCTGAGCAAAGCGCATTTACGGAGCACAACACAAATTTGTCGAAACGGTTTCAATTGATTTTTGAATCTTCAATTCCTCCAATATCACCTTTAATGTTTTCGTACTATTTCAAGTGGTCCACTAATTATGGGCACGACCATAACTTCTATGTTCTAATGCTCGCTCCTGGTATCTCTATATTTTACTTCACTCTTATATATTGGATTTGTTCACCAGTAGTTTTACGATATCATTATTACAGTAATGCTTTGAGATACGAGTTTAATTTGTTCCAAGACCAACTAAAAAGATTCGTATCTCAAATCAATTTTTCCCATTCAAACTTATGAGAATATTTCTGTTCTGTTCCAGGCCCCTAATAGTCACCCTTATTTTCCTAAAATTCACCCCCGCTTTTGTATTTGTGGGTTTCTTACGAGCAAAAAAGTGTGAATAAACAAGAATTGTTGTTTTACAAACAAGAACAGAAAAAAAATTCTAAAGAAATAAACTGTGCTAAATCATGAAGTTTGGGATGAGTCAAGGGCTAACTGAATGATTTTCTAAGCGTAACTTAAATGTGGCACAAGGCCGAATGTATGGGGCACCCAGTCAGAATCGAACTCATTATTCAGTCGTAACTAACCTAGAGAAACAAACTTGCTAACCATTACGCCACGTCGAAGTGCCCAAAGTGATTTTCCAAGCGTAGCTTAGATGTGGCACAAGGCCGAATGTATGGGGTACCCTGTGAGGATCGAACCCACTACTCAGTCATAATTGTTCTAGCGAGCAAGCTTCCTAACCATTACACTGCCTCGAGGTGCTCAAGTCATAGGCCAATTGGCGGAGGAGAGTGAAAGAACAATTGAAACTCGCTTGCTTTTATTTTTACAAGGCTTTTTGAGACAGTTTCAGTACAAACGGATACATTAATTTCATATTCAACTTTTAAAAAATTCTTACGTATTCTTTGAGTTTCAGTCTTTCATCTGCTAGATTTAATTGATTTGTTTTTACTGATTACCCACCTTTTATAGGTTATTTAAATCCAGAAAATATTTTTAGATGGTAAGAATTTTTATGAAGAAAAAATTATCGCCTGATACAAGTCTTGCTAATTAACCCTTAGCTGGGGGGAGAGAAGCGGTGGATTCGTATTTTTCTCAAGGTTATTTGCGTGTAGGTGAATATAACGAACACGACTGAAATTCGAACTCTGCTCTCCGATTACACTACCAGTACATCCAGACTTATAGTACCTGGTTTTCGAAAGTGGTCACCCATCTGGGTACTGACCAGGCTCGAAATTGCTTAACTTTCGTGATCGTACGAGAACCGGTGTCTCAACGTGATATGTCGGTAAACTTGAGTTATCCAAGCTAAAGGTATTTCTAATTGGGCCTTACATGCTGCTCTTATCTAAACCTGTCACCATATCGCATACATTTGGCTGTGATGCATGTGTCTGGTATACACTTAAGGGTAATATTTTGTTGGTATAATGACCCCTCATTCAAAAATACTACTACTCCTAATAATAATAATAATGAAGAAGAAGAAGAAAAAGAAGAAATGTTTTCCTTATTGTTTTCATGACTATTAATGCGCCATCCAAATAGAATTTCCTCTTCTGAGCCCGATCTTATAGCATCTGACATTTCCTAAGTGTTCAACCATCTAGGTACTGCCCAACTGTTTAACTTCGTTGATCGTACGAAAACCGGTATTTCAACATGATAATGCCCAAAGCCTGTCATCTGCTAGAACAGAGACAACTCCTATTTGATATTTTTTTTTTGTTTTTATCAATCTATCTAGTCACTATCTCGTCTTGTGGCCTAGAATGGGTAAATTTCCAAGTCCTACAGATTTTGTATGCTTCTATAATACAAGAGAAGTTTTCATTTCTGCCAATTCGATTGGTTTAGGATATACACTCAACATCAGCATTTCCAACCATTTTTAATCTTGACATATGCTGCAATAAATTCCATGCCTCAGGGTATTCCTATGTAAAAAAAAATAAAAATTCTATCCAATTTTATTAATCTTTTTTCATTCTTTTCTAAAGAGCAATTTCATAAGACATACATTTTCTCGTTTAAGCAAAAACCGGTTTTTCTCGGGTTTATTGACAATGCAAAAAATAATAACGCATCTTGTTCAGAGATTTTCATTCACGCGAATAAATAAAATCAAATATATCTAGATTCGCAAAAAAATGAACATAAATAAACAACATTCTATATAACATATAAAAATAGAAAAAAGCAGATAACTACAAGATCAAGTTGATCTTTTCTTGACTCAGATTAAACACAAAATGCCTGAAACATGAAGTTGCTTATAATTATCCTGTTTATCACAATTTCATGCGGGACCCTTAGATACTTCACGCGGAAAACTGGTTGATAAGCGCTGCTCGAGATGTTCAAATCTTTGAATTTTGTGCAATTCCTAGTGAATCTTTCTTATCCACTCATGCTTTTTTCTATTTCTTCTAAGCTAATTTGTTGTATTCAGTTATTATAAGTTTGATAGTGTCCTCGCATAGGTGACATTGACTTTTTTTTGTAATTGTAACCCTTGAATTTTCACACAATTAGTTGTCGGTAGAAAAGAAAATCATGTTTATGGAGTATCAAGTAACAACATGTTTCATACACACGCTCTAACCGATTCTTCAATATTCTACCAAATTTTAATAATGCTATCTACTGGATTGTTTCAATTCTTCTTTGGATTACAAATTCTTCTAACCCGTACGCAAGGTTCTCTGGATCCCGAATAATAATAATGTGTGTAATCAGTTCTTTGACGGTCGAAAATTTTGTCCGTTTTCTGTCAAGATCCGGTATATTTCAGTTTTCAGATTTACTCTGGAATCTAGTGTAGTGATTTTCTGAGCCCGGCTTAGATGTGGCACAAGGCCGAAAGTATGGGGCACCCAGTGAGGATCGAACTCACTTCTCAGTCGTAATTGATCAAGTAAGACAAGCTTTCTAACCATTACACCACGTCGAGGTGCCCCTGGAATCTAGTGTAATAAGAGTTATCTTCTCTTTGTTTACGATCGGATAACTAGATCTGCACTGAATTCTGAATTTCAAATTCCCGAAAGATTTTACTTTCTAATTCTTTTGAATTCTGGTTTGTGCATAAACTATTGGTTTATATACATATACAACTTGCGTATATATCATCACGTCTGTTTTTGTACTCTCAACCAATTTGCTGCATTTGCTTAGATAACTCATCTCTGAAAGACTGCAGTTACTATTTTCCTGTGTCTTGTTTATCGTAAACTTAATATACTTGATTCTAATGTAATTGTTCTGGGTTGTCTATGATAGTGATTCCTTTTCTCCTCTTTTTAATCATGTCAATGTCATCATATACAATATCTTTTGTTTGTCACTTGAACTGACTGGGAAATTTTCTTTCTTTCCAGTTTTTGCTTCGTAGTTTATTGTTTTATTCTTCTCTTCTTCTCGTTTCTCCTCCAACATTTCACTGTCATAATCAATCTTTCATTGCATTGTTCTCAACGCATTTGACATAATCGTTAACGCTGACGAGTATTACACTTCTTGCCTTTTTCTTTCTTTTATTACGTATATCATCTTTACGTCTTTAAAATGTACTGGTTTATGCGTAACCATCAAGTCTTCTTCTATTAAGATTTGTCAAGTTTTCTCATCAATTGAACCATGCATTTGTTAATAAGATTAGCCTATTTTATAGAGATATTTGCCCCAAATATAATCTTTATTTGTATTCATATGCATATTAAAGACTTTCTGTGTTGGCAGATAGGTATAAATTCTTATGGTGAATTAGTATATTACATAGCA